TCTCGTGCATCCAGAACCTGCCTTCGCTTTCTGCAATGATTGCCAGGGGAGAAAGTTACAGTATTTCAAATAGAGGGTATATATGACGTTTTTTCCAACTAGCGCGCTCTAGGCGAGACGCGACCGCGAGTAATTAGTGCCGCTGTACTGAAGCTCGAGACTGCTCAACTGCGTGTAGGTAGTCCCTCCTTCAACGTTCTACTTCCCAGCAGGGTGAATAAAAGTAGAGGAATTCCTCGACCATCGCTCTAGAACCGATAGTGAATGTTGCGAGCACAGACGGCTCGTGGTGGGCGAGCAGGGTGAATATCGGTCGAGGAAATCCTCGACAGGGGGGTCGTACCTGTCGGGCTGGGTCATGGGGGGTCGTACTCTTGGGGTCAGTAACAGCAGTGGTATCGTGGTGCAGATAGGTAAGAGGGTATAGCGCAGCAGAAAATGAAAATATCTGAAAAAAAAACATGATATTAAATTTTCTTTGCAGGTTCAGTCGCTCCATTCCTCCACCTTCATGAGAAAGGGCGTATTTGAAGGCAGTACAAAGAATGAAAGTGCATCCCCGCAAAGAAGACTGCCACATGTGCGCACGCGCTGCAAAGGCACCCTCCTCTGCCTATCGCTCGCTCCTTCTCCCTTAATACCTCGCTGAGAATGACACTGTTGTTAGGGACCCTGTCGCAAAAACGACAACCGTGAAGGAAAAGCCCTGGGCAAATGAAGTTGTTCTTTAGGTTGTAAGAGTTACGAAATGCGTTTACTACAATGCAGCTTCTGTCAACTGGTCATGATCATATGACACCTTCGAATCGATTCTGCAACTTCGAGTGAGGTCGGATGCATGGCCTATACTCAGACAAAATTCGATGCCCTGAACCATTCATTTTGATGGAGTAAATAGGAAATGATACACTTGGCGCAGATCCATTCCGTTCTGGTATGCGCCATGCAGTGACCCCACTCGGAGTCATTTGAAAGGTGTTTTGTCAAACACGACAACTTACTTGTGCAAACGGAGAGGTGTTTTTTCGACTAATTAGAATAACTATGCGGTTATTATGATCTGATCATTCCTTTATTTACGTCGCTTCCTTTCCGACCCTGTTCCGATGAATGACACATTTGCGGCTGCAGTATTTGATAATGCCAAGGAAGGCTACGAAGTGTTCCTCCACTAGGTTTTCAAAGCATCTAAATTATTTTAGATTGTTACTGCGCCTTCCCTACGATTTTTTGCAAGACGCGTTGCCTTCCTATGTCATACTGATCACTACGAACCAAACCAACAACCACTTTCCATTTGAATTTTAATTCCAGACAGTTGTAAGATATTATTTGCATTAGGCTAACTACAACACTTGTGAAATTAATGATGACAGCAAATAAGTGGCAGCAGCACCGTTGTGTCCGTTGATGAACCTTTTGATTACGACCCCCTCCACTCTCATCGGAGCAAATACGACCCCCTGTCGAGGATTTCCTCGACCGTTATTCACCCTGCTTCATGGCACTGTTACGCCGCACACTTTAGCGCACAGTGCGGTTCTTCACCAATCCGCAATGGTCGCTTCGCTAATGGTTTCTGAAGTTAGTTTTCAATTCCGCCTGCCTTGATGTGCACACTTCACACCCAAAATCCTTCGATATCGCTTCCTTCATGATCTCTATCTAATTTTTTCCCTGTCATCGAGCCCTGTCGGAGCGAGCCCAGTATGGGATTTCGTACCAAATCACACAAATGATGGCTGGAATTCCCCATTTCAAAATTTCTCATTACAATTGTTTATCTCTTGAGGCTTAAAGGAATCTTGCGCGGAAAATTCTTGCACTCTTTCCTAACATGAATATGTCAGTTGTGATCACTGGAAATAGCACACAAAGTTTCACGCATGAAGATTCGGTTTCTGAAGAGAAACAAACGTACAAAAACTACACGTTATGGACCATCGAAGGACCAGGAGGCAGAGCCAGGCGAGGCAGGGAAGGGCGGCGTTTGGTAGGCGACGTACA